CATTACAGAGAAGTTTCATGGGCATGATTTGGTGACTGGATGGCAGCAAATGAAAGAGATGGAGGAGTCCAGCTGATTCTTGCTTGAGTGACTGTGTGGATGATGGTGCATTAATCAAGAAAGAGAGTCCTGGAGATGGAGAAGGTTTCCAAGGGAATGACGAAGAATTACAGCCTTTAGTGTTGAGTTTGAAGGATTCACGGGACCTTCTGGTGGAAGTGTAAATAGCATTTCCCAAGTCCTTTCCAGACCTGTCATTCCACCTGCAATTCCCATTCCCTCCCCAGCCCCTGGGTAGCTATCTCATGCCACCCAGTCCTTGCTCTGATCTGGATTGGCCCAGGCTGTGAAAATGGCCAACTAGGCTGTGCCTCAGGACATTTGCCTGACCTGAACCTGTTAGCCCAGGCCTAACTTTGTTTTGCAGTCCTGAAAACAAGCATTGGGAACCTGGCTTCCCAGCCTCTTGACCCCAAAGGAAGTTATTACACTCCTCCACAGATCTGGAAATCCTTCCTCCAACTCAAAGAACATCTTGAAATTGGCCTTTCCACTGACCCTGTCCCTACCTCTCCCTCCTTTCAGTCTGACTCTGGCAGAGGCAGGGCGTGGAGGATGACACAGAGTCACAGTGCAGAGGATTTGGGGACCTTCTAGTTCACGCTTCTCATTTTTCAGACAAGAAAATCTGAGGCCCAAGGAGGAGAGGAGACTAACTCAAGGTCACAGAAGGAGTTAATGTCAGACCTGGGACTAGATCTTAGAAATCTCAACTTGTAGTCTGGTGTTTTTTCCTTGGCTGAATTCACTGTTGATCATGGTTGAAAGATTTTATGTTTCAAATGATAATAAATTCCAGATAACCTCCTAACTAAGTAGATCTTTATACTATTCCAAGTTGCTAGGTAAAGTATCTGGCATATGTTAGATAGGCTATGCCCTACAAATGTTCTTCATAAAATAGCAAATGTTAAATGCCCAGATCTGTCAAGAATTAATTACAGGAATGATTTGGTCATTTTCAAAAGAAGGGAAGTTAATTGAATTATTATTATCCTGATGATTTTCTTAGGCTCTGTATTTCAATCTACTGCCCTCTTGAGCCTTGGAAGTGATGCCCAATAGCAACTTAAATAAATGCATTTAAATAAATGTATTTGTTTCTATTTTCCCCCTTTTAAACTTGTCTCCCTGCCCCCTCAGAGCTGGAGGGAGGGATCTGGGGCAGCTGATGGACAGAGTCTGGTGCTGAGGTCAAGCCTGCAGCCAGGCTGGAGCCAGTTAGGTTGGGGAGCCAGGGCTCTTGTTACAGGCCAACTATTACCCCCCAAGTTTCCTCAGCCACTTCAGCAGGAGCCTGGAGAGAAGCCCTGAATGGCTCCAGGCAACAAAAGGAGCTTTGTGCACTAGGAGCAAGGGGCCTCAGGGAGGATTTGGTGCAAGGGCGGTGGGGGGGGAAGGTCAGCATCCTCCTCACCTCTGTGGGCTGCTGGGAAGGGGAGCTAGTAGGTTAAGCAGAAATGTAGGGTCGGCAAGTAAAGGAGTCATCGAATTTCAGAGAAGCAAGATACCTTAGAGGTCATTTAGACCAAACTATTCATTTTATAGTTGGGGACACTAAGGCCCAGAGAAATAAAAGGACAGGCCCAAGGTCACACAGCTGGCAAAATGCAGAGCCAAAACCGGAACCTAGAGCTTCTGGTTCCCCAGTCAAGTGTTCTCACTTCAGGACCTGCGAGGCAGTTCACAATTGTGGATTTTATTTGAAGGGAGGGGCACTCCTTTTAGGCTTCAGAGCCTATTTCCATCTCAGGAGCAATTCATGCTTAAGTAACACAAAGTGAGGACTTGGAAGGAGTATGACGTGATGTGGGGAGCCAGAGAGCAGCTAGTCAGTCTTGGCGTGAGGTCCAAAGGCCCAAACTTCCTCCTGACCTGTTAGTTTGTGACCTCTGTGTTTTCCAATGCTTGGTATTTATGCATGGGATGATTTGGAGTGAAACATTGACATTTTCAATCATGATAGATATATATTGAATTCAATACGTATTAGGAAAGATGTAACTAGTACCTCAAACTCTAATTTTATAGATATTTCGGCTGAGAGTGAAGTTATTGTTTAAAGTCAGGTTGATTTAAAGAAAAATAAGTACATAATGGCACAGGATGAAGTGATGGTAAAATTGTGAAGTTGGTTCACAGATCAATGAAATTTAGAAAACATTGTGCTAGTGGATTCTTGGAACATGATAGCAGGATGGTCGAAGGTCATTCAGGCTATCCTCCTGGGCTTGGGCAGCACTACATATGTTGAAGCCAGTTGGACATTCCTAGTGTTTGCCTGTGAAGATGTAGCCAAAGATTTTCTCCGTCAGTGTCAGCGAGACCACTAGGACAAAAGCAGTAGCACATCAGAGAAACCTTTGATTGACTGATCTTAGCAGGAAGAAGATTACATATGCAAATCATATTCAATTGTCAGCTTTGAGTCAGTCTCGGCTTTTTCTTTCTTCCCTAAAAAGTCCGTGGTTGGTCCTCTCTTCCACCACTTCTGTTCTACTCTGGTGGAACTTGTAAGAATGGCATATGAGAACACAGTAGGCTCAACGTGCAGATGGAGTACTCATGGTCAGAGAGGGGAAGGTTCTTAAGATCATTCACCCATGAGTGGCACAGTCAAGACTGGATCTCAGATCTCTTGACTCTCAAACTAATGCTTATTCCACCACTGCCCCACATTTCTTGCCCCACAATTCCTTCTCCATTGCCCTTCCTGCACACTCCCCTCAACCCTACCTCTACCCTAAATCAGGCAGTGATAACCTCCACTGAAGTCCTGTCTAGCACATCTCACTTTCTTTAGACCTTCTAAATTCATCAAGGGCCCAAGAAGCTGATAATATTGGTCACTTCCAAGAGGACTGCTGGGTGCTTGAGAGTCAGAGGTGGGAAGACCTTTTATTTTCATACCTCTTGGATTTTGAAACACGTGAAGACATTACCTATTCCAAAAATAGATAAATAAGAAAACGAATCAAGAGTTCTGCCCCCGCCCCAAGCCAAATCTCAGATATAATCACATTTGTTCAGCACTTTGACATTTTTAATGCCCTATCTCTTATGGTCCGTACAAGAGCCCCATGCGACAAGCTCCATTTTCTAGATGTGGACACTGGTCTAGAGAGGAAGTTTCTTGCCTAGGCTCACACAGTGAATCAGTAATGAAATTTGGACTAAAATCCAGATCCCCTGATCCCCAGTGCCTTGCTGCTTCCATTGCCTCATCCACATAAACTCACAATTTGTACTGAATTGTCATTGGATCGGCTTGAGACCACGCATCTACATTTGCCATTAAATAGACATTTTCAAACCTTAAGCTAAAGAAGTAGCACAAAAACCAGTCCCAGCTCAGCTCTGCGGGTGGCAGCCTCTTCTGCTTAGCCCCACCCCCTAAAAGACACTCCTCTTTCCTCTGATATGCCACAGACCTCTAAGCCACTTAGTGCCCACCCTCCCAGGGTTCAGCTCTGGCAACTCAGTCTGACACAGACATTCTAATGAGGCAACTTGGCAGCTGCAAGTGCATTCGTCTGGGGTAGGGTCACTATTTCAGGGCCTGAGATGCTTCTTTTCAGCCTTTGCAGCTGGTGTCTCTGAAATGGAGAAGTTTATCCTTCCCCCAGGGTGGACAGCCCACACATCTTGTGCCCCCAAGTCTCTGTTGCAAAGCAGGAACTGTACTCAGCAAGAAGCCCTGGAATGGTGATGGGGGGAGGAGGTAGGGGATGGAGAAGCAGATGTATGCTGCGTGCTGATCAAAGCAATGTTTCTGCTTCAAAACAGGTCCCCTCTCATCTGCTGTCATGGCAATGCAAATAAACACCTCATCCTGCTGGCTCTTCCTTTTTAGCAGCCACCACCCGAGGACTCAAGGTCCTAAGGTGGGAAAGTCTTTGGGAGGTCACCAGATCCCCTCTCTGCCTCTTGGTAAGACTGCGCCCAAACCCACTGCAAGTACTTGGGGAGGTTCTCAGAAGCAAGGGCTTGGGTTGTCTCTTCCAATGTCTCCTCAAGATGCTTCGCACAGGCCCTTAGCATGCCACTTCTAAATTGGTGCCTTTCTGTTTCCTCGACCCCCAGCCCTGACTGCCACCTAGGAGCCATGCTCATTGAACACATGAGTTCATCCTGATGAGAAACTGAAGCCACTGGGAATGGCTGAGGTCAGGCTGGAGTCAAGAGGATGGCCTAGATGAGCTCAGCAAAGCCAGGAGTTCAGGCTCCGGCAGCAAATTCATTCCTAGCCAATATCCTTTCTCTTCCTTCCCAAAGCAGAAATCCCCCGCTAGACAAGTGCATCCTCCTTAACAAAAGGATGTTCCTCCCAGAATGCCACCCACTTGTCCAGGCCCAAGTAGAACACCAGAGGCAGAAGACAGCTAGGTAGTCAGGCTCAAAGAAACTTGTTAGAGAGAAACAGGAGGGAATTTTTTCCCTCAAGGCTAAATATATCCCCTCAGTTCTAAGTAACCCTCTTGGAAGTGTTCCAAATAAAGTATGTGTTGGGACTATCACAGACACTGAACCCCAAATGCCAAGTCTCTTTCCTTCACCTTCCACTTACCTGTTCCCTTTCCCAACATATCTCCCACCCCTAATATACTTCCTGGTGGAAAGAAAGCATGTGAGAAGAAGGAAAGCATATAGTGGCTGCCACTTGCTGATAGCGCTTCGGGGAAATCCTCCCCTCGCTCCCTGACCAGAGAAGACTCTCCATTTGAGAAATAAAGAAGATCTGCATGCTTATTCACTTCCAAATGGCAAGGCCTGAGTCACCCAGGAAATGCCCACTGGAGGGAGACAGAGAGAATGTCTCCAGATTTTGTATCTAGGCCATTGGCTCCACTGCCCGGGGACCTGATCACCCAGCCTATGAGGACCACTGAGAAGCTCGGTCCCATCGCATGCTGCTCGTGAGCCCCACCACACACACTTACCAGCATTCTTCCTCCCCTGCAGCAACGGGAAGCACTGCAAAGGAAACAGAAGAAATCAAGGCACTGCAGAGAGCCAAGCAATATCAGAACTGAAAGGGATCTTTGACATCAGCAAGTTCAACCTACCCATTTTACAGAAAGACACACTGAGGCCCACAGAAAAGGAAAACGAAGTACAAGTAGGGAGCAAAGTGGAGCCTAGAAGCCCAGACTCCGGACTGCCCACTCCAAAATACTTTCTTCTACTTTACCAGCTAACTCCTCTGGTTCACTTCACTCTCATGGAATGGAGAGTGCCTCCAGGTCAGGGGATTGGAGACAGTCTGCATAACTCACAGTACTATTCCAAGGCCTGACAATAAGGATTATTGAGGAATTGGTCACCATTTGCTTGGCACATACAATCTTTGGTATTGCTCAGCCAGGTTAGAAGCAAGACATGTTGACAGAAGGAGCAGTATTTAGAATTAGAAAGCTCAATTTCAGGGCCACCTTCCTGTACTTACTGGTTATGTGACACTGGACATAACCTCTTGAGCCTCAGTTTCTGCATCTGTGAAACTAGGATAGTAATAGTCTCAACCTCATAGCCTTTGTGAGAAATTAATGTACATGAAAGCATTTTTTAAAATGATAAAGCACCTTATGAAGTCATTCAATCAACAAATATTTATAGAGCACCAGTGCCCTACGGAACACTATGCTAGATGCTAAGCATGTAGCAGTGATCTAGACAAATAAAGTCCCTGTCTTCATGGAGCGGGAACAAACATTAATAGGTAAACAAACAAATAATAAGGAAATTTCAGACATTACTAAGAACTAAAATGGAGAAACTTTCAAAAACAGGATGAGGTAGAGAATGATAGGGTAGGAGGAATACAGTGGGGATTGCTTTAGAAAAGGTGATCAGAGAGGGTCTTTCAGAGGAGCTGAACTTTGAGCAGAGGCCTGAATGACAAGAAAGAGCTAGCAATGTGATGATCGGGGTGCAGAACATTCCAGACAGAAGTTGAAGAGAGAGGCAAGAGCCAGATTATTCAGGGCTTTGAAGGCCAGGGTGGGGACTTGGGCTCTGATTCTAGTTACAGCAGGTTGCCGTTGGAGGGCAGACAGCAGAATGACAAGATCTGATTTTCACCTTAGAAAGCTCACTCAGACTGCTGTGGGGCAGGGATTGTGGAGCTAGAGTGGAAGCAGGGAGATCTCTTAGGAGGCTTTTGCGATAGTTCAGGTAAGCATTTGTCGGTGGCTTGGGCTAAAAGGGTAGAGATAGAGATGTTAATTCAGCAGTTAAGAAGGAAAGAAAGAAGGGTGCCTCTTAGAGGTTGAAGGGTTTTCCTGCCTATTCTCCTGCCTTTATGCAGCCAGCCTCTCAATCAACCGAAGGAATATCAGGGAAGAATTGACCATAGTATTTGTCATCTCTCTTATCCCCTGCAAATGATTGTCACATCAGCTGTAGACACTTGACCACAATGATTTCTAGTCCTAGGAGATTAGTCTCAGCCCTCGATCACCCTAAAATGACTAAAGGTCAGACCCAGCCTTGGATATCACGAGACAACCTAATAAATGTTAAACCTACAATTGGCCACAGGAGAGAGGAGAGGTAGGAGGTGTCCTCCACTGAGTGTTCATTAGCAGGGCCCTCGAGGGATGTTAGTGTGAGGGAGATGGAAAATTCTAGAATGAGATAGGTGTGAAAAGAGGAGAGAGACTAGGAGGGACACATATGAAACTCCCCTAAAAATCTACAAAGTAGACCTATGATTAAGAAAGTCAATATAATTCTTAGTGATGGACAAAAGGGGAGTAAAAAGAAAGCATGAGAGAGTGGGAGAGAAGGAGGAAGCAGGCCCCTGTGAGGTCCTAAATGTGACAGTCATGGGAGATTAGGAGATGAACTGATGGGTAAGACAGACTGTTAACTCTGCAGTCCTGTTCTATTCATGTTAAACTCTCTCCTTTCCCACCCTACCCCCCAACCCATCGTAAGTATAACAGAATTAAAGACAGCTCAGGAGTTAATTAGGCTTTAAATTTACACAGGGATTTATAGGTTACAAATAGGTAGCCTTGCTTGACTGTTACAAACATTCTACATGGTAGGTTTCCTTATCATCATGTGACACAGGAGGAAAATGAGGCCCAGAGAAGTGAAATGACTTACTCAAAGTCACACAGCTAGTAAATGTCAGAATCAAGTTTACACTTTAGGCCCACGGGGCTCTCAATTTTATTGCATCCTATTCTTTTCTCTCTGTGGTCCAGAATAACCTGGACTGGGCCAGGACGATAAGTTTCACTCTGCTTTGAACTCCGATCCCAGTGCTGTTTGGGTAGCTGAGAGGCTTACAGGGAAAGATGAAGCATGAAATTTTGTATCAGAGTTCTGCTACAGAGTGAAGGCTCTTTTTGTTTCCTGGCTGTAGAACATATTCCTCTCACTTGGGCGTTCTGAACCCGGGAGTCCAGCAGCTACAGAGACAGCAACTCTGGAAGAAGACCAGGATCAGTGGTGACAGTCTTCCCATCCAGTGCGTCATTCATTCACTCATTCATTTACTCGCTATGAGCCTCCTCAGGGCCAGGCCCTGTGCTGAGTACTCAAGGACTCGGATAAATCAGGCATGTCCTCTGCCCTTGAGGACTTCACAGCCAAGTTGGGTGGGGCGGGTAGGCCACGTGCACAAATCGTCACAATTCCAGGGAAGTGCCACAGGAAAGGATAAAGCTTTGTGGAACTGAGCAGAGGGAGTGATTAGTTGCTGGGGGTGCAGGTGCGTTGTCATGAGGGCCTTCATGAAGGAAGCAGCATTTGGAACAGGTCTTGAAAGATGAATAGTTGTTCGTGAGGCAGACTAGGGGGCAGAGAGCATGGCAGGCAGAAGGAACAGCATAGGGAATGGCAAAGAGGTGTGGACCTGTGTGGTTTGAGGAACTGTGTGCAGTCCAGCTGGAGAGCAGAGTGCCAGATAGAGAGTGAGAAATGATTCTGGAGCAGCAGGTAGGGGCCAGATCATGAAGGACTCTGTAGATCATGTGAAGGGACTTGAACTTTACCCAAAGCCCAGTGGAGAGCCATTGAAGGGGCCTAAACAAGGGGGTAACATAGTCAGATTTAGATTTCAGAATGTTTATCTGTTGAGTGAAGAATAGATCAGGAATGGGCGTGGGGGAAGGAGGCTAGGCAAAACTAGAGACAGGGAGGCCAGAGCAGATCAGGGCAGTGGCCTTTGGGATAGAAAGGTGGGGACCAATATATAGCCTATTTACATGGTAGAACCAAAGTAAATGATAGGATGTGAGAGGATGAGAGAGGAGTTGAGGATGAATCCAAGGTTTCTGGCTTGGGCAACTGGGTGGGTGATGAGTCTATTAACTGAGGTCAGGAACAGAGGAAAAGGCATGGCTGAGAGCAGGTGGAAGGGGAATCTTCCTTTTGTAACGAACCTCATTTTGGACCCATTGGATTTGAGGCGTCTGTGGAGCATCTGCTCAGAGCTGTCCAGTAGGCACTATGACAGACCTGCAGATGCAAAGCTGCACAGCAGCAGATATGATCCGTGCCCTTGAGGAGCTTGCAGTCTAGTTGGTGATAAAGTGACCAGACAGAAAAAGATCAGGAGTTTTTAAGAGAAAAAGAGAATCATGTTGAAAGAGTGAAAAAGAGAGAGCCAGAGCCAAAAGGAGGATAGGAGAAGAAAGCTGGTTGCTGGGTGAGAAATCGGGAGGTCTGAGAGGGGTGGTTTGGAGACAAGCTGCAAAGGCTACTGACAGGCTTTGTCCAGATGCAAGGAGTCCTCAGCCATGAGTGGCCAGGACAGAGCTCACTCTGCACAGCATCCTCTCTGCTGGGCCTACAGGATCTATGACCAGTCCTTGTCCTGCTATCTGAGGGCAGGCCTGGAGAGACTTTTTGTCCTTTCCTTGCCTGGTTTCTCTGCTCCCCTCTCAGCCCCTAGCCAGCCCTGTGCCACAGGCCCAAGCCTGGGGCCAGTCATGAAAACACGTTCTTCACATTCCAGCCTCCCCCAGCCCTCTCAGCTAGGCCACACAGAGCCCTATTCACAGCCTGACCCTCCCTCCCTCTGGAGGGGGCTCTCACCGCCCCCGGCGCCAGCCTGTGTTTTCCCAGCAGAGACTATGGCTACCATGGGAAGCAGGCTCCCCTGAACCCTCAGGAGCTGACTCCTCTGTCTTTTGGGGTCTCTCCACTGGGAGGAGGTGCATAGGTGTGGCCACTTGTACGTACATGTGTGTACCTGTGTGTTCTAAGCACTCAGCCAATTTCTTCTGGGCTAGGCCTAGAATAGGGGCTGTGTTGGGCTGGATGCGGGTGGATAAGACATCGGCTCAGTCCTTAGAGATCACAGTCCAGCATGGAGACAGCTGGGCACACAGACAGCGGTGTGCAGGCTGGGGCTAGAATAAGCTTGCTACCACGTCCTAAATTGGAGCATTGGTGTCAGGGTGCCACTTTTAAACCCCAATCAAGTGGCCTGGGAACATGTGCTCGTGTGCAGAGTGTGACACCTGCTGGGAGTGGGGTGCTGCAGGCCTGAGGGACACCAATCTCTTCCTCAGAAAGAGCAGAGGAGACCTGGTTTAGAGTAGGACTGATCAACACAAGCATTCAGGGCCTGACCATGTGCCTTTGACCCTTTACTGGGCCTCAGATTTGTTGCCTATAATGATAGGTGGCCCCTGACAATTCTTATCCTTCCATCACGAGGTAGAGGGTGAGGGACGATCCCAGCCGAGAAAGGGCAGTGGAAGAAATGGCTTCTAGAAGGTCTTTGTAGAACTCAGAGTCCGGGACAGCTTTTTGAGGAATCCCCAGAGGGTCTATCTGCCCATTGTCCCCACTCTGAGGGTACAAGCTGTCCCATAATAGCTTGAAGGGTGGGACCTCTCAGAAGGGCTGACTCTCCTTTCCTACCCAGCAGGAAACCTTGGTCTCATACACATTCACCCACCCCCAAAAAGAGTACCCGATCTGTAGTCTAGGAACGTTGATCTGCATATCAG